AAAAAAAAAAAAAAAAAAAAAAATCTGACTATCCCAAAGGGTGGGAAGGAATGACGGAACCTTTCATGCACTGGAGTGTAAGTTAGTACAAATGTGTTAGAAAATAAGTTAGCATTATCTAATAAATCTAATAATGTATATACACCAGACCTAGTTATTCCACTCATAGTTATGTAGCCTGTGGAAATTTGATGTGCACTAGGAGACATACTGCACAAGAGTTCATAACAGCATTATTTGTAATAATGAAACAAACTGGAAACGGCTCAAATGTCCATCACCAAGCAAATGGATAATTGAAGATATTCATAGAATGAATTTCTAGTTAGCTGTGAAAATGAATAAGATCTAAACATATCAAAGTGGATGATTCTCGCAAACAGTATTAGGTGTAAAAAGAAGTTGCAGAAGAATACAAATGGTCCCATAACATTTATTTATATAAAGTTCAAAAATGTACAAAATTAAGGATATTTTATTTAAGGATATAAAGAAAAGGTAGAGGATGGGAAGTTGGGTGGAAGTTACCAGTGTGAGCAGGGAAGGAGGTTGTGGTCAGTAGATACCTGAGGACTCCAGTGGTACAGCCAGTGTATATTTTTTATGCTGGGATTCATTATGTTGTTCTTCATACCATATCCACAGGTGCAAATACATTCTTTTATGTTCTTGAACTGTTGAATTAAACTTTTTCCTAGGTTCTTAAATAATGTAATCTCTAATCAGACTTTTTGGGGACAGAGGCCAGTTTGAATTTTGGTCTTCCAAAAACAATAATGTTACTCAGTTGAGTCCATACGGTAACTTGAGCTAGGCTAACAAATTTTTGGCATTTCACTTCTAAAATTATTAAAGTAATTTTTATTTAAATATTCACTTTATCTAAAACTTCTATTACTCTGTTATTCTGTTAATAATTAATTTTCAAAAGACACTTTATTAGAGATCTGAGGCCTATGCCTACTGGTATGTACATTAAGCCTAGAAAAGGAACCAAGTATGTGTCTTCCTTTGAAAGATAAAGATCTCTTTCAAATACCATGCAGTAAAAGTCTCTAATCCATTGCTATCTTGAAATTGTGCAGTTTTAAAATTGAGTACTGCCACTGGCTCCTTTACAGGAAACTATCCTATTTTTGGCCTCAGAGTTTCTTTGGATGGTTGGCCCTTATTGCCCTGTTCTTTTGAGAATGTTGTGAATATGGAGTCAAGCCTGGGTTGCCAGGCTTGAGTTTTCGTTAAGTAACCAAAACTGAATTGCTATAGAAGATGAACTATTAAAAACAACAACAAAACAAGGCTCATTCCTTTAGGCACTAGTGAACACTGGAGAATTATGACATGGACCAGAAGGAGAAAAGCACACTAGAGCAACAGTTTTCTAGCTGTAAGGGTTAACCTAAGACAGACAAACCACACAAATGACCTTTTTCTTCTAACTTATTTATAAATCAAGAGGATGAGGCAACCAGCGGTGGCTCATGCTGGTAATCCCAGCACTTTGGGAGGCCAAGGCGGATGGAACCCCTGAGGTCAGGAGTTTGAGACCAGCCTGGCCAACATGGCAAAACTCTGTCTCTACTAAAAACAGAAAAAATTGGCCGGGTGTGGGGGCCATGTGCCTGTAGTCCCAGCTACTCAAGACACTGAGTCACAAGACTTGCTTGAACCCAGGAGGCAGGGTTGTGGTAAGCCAAAATTGTGCCACTGCACCCCAGCCTGAGTGACAGAGTGAGCCTCTATCTCAAAAATATAAAATAAAATAACTACTTTAAGGCTGGGTGTGGTGGCTCACGCCTGTAATCCCAGCATTTTGGGAGGTCGAGGTAGAAGGATTGCTTGAGCCGAGGAGTTCAAGACCAGCCTTGGCAACATAACAAGACCTTGTCTCTACCAGCAAATAAAATTTTGTAAAAAAAAAAAAAAAGAAAAAGAAGAAGAAAGACTTTAAAAATGGGCAACATAGCAAGATCGTCTCAACAAAGTTTTTTTTGTTGTTGTTGTTGTTGTTTTTAATACTAGGCCAAGCACAGTAGCTTACACCTATAATACCAGCACTTTGGGAGGCCAAGGCAGAGCCAATCACTTGAGCTCAGGAGTAGACTAGCCTGGGCAACATGGTTGAAACCCCGTCTCTATAAGAAATAAAAAAAATTTTTTTGAACTAGGTATGGTATGCATGCCTATAGTCCCAGCTGCTTGTGAGGCTAAGGAGGAAGAATCACTTGAACCTGGGAGGTTGAGGCTACTGTTAGCTGTATTTGCACCACTGCAGTCCAACCCATCTTAAAAAAAAAAAAAAAAAAAAAAAAAAAAAAGTAGTACTTTAAGAAGGACCACTTACACAGCAAAGAAAACAACAGTGTGCAGACATAGCCTACAGACTGGGAGAAAATGTTGATAAGCTGTACATCTGATAAGGGGCTAATATAGTCATATTTAAGGAGCTCAGACAATAGAAAGAAGAAAAAAGCAGTTAGAAAATGGTCAAAGGACCTGAATAGATATTTCTCAAAAGAAGACATAAAAATGGCCAACAGATATATGAAAAAATACTCAACATCAGTAATCATTAGGGAAATGCAAATTAAAACCACAAAGAAATAGCATCCCATACCTGTCAGAATGACTGTTGTCAAAAAGATGAAAGATTGGTGAGAATATGGAGAAAAGGGAAACTGTGTATGCTATTGGTGGGAATGTAAATTACTATCGTCATGATGGAAAATATATGGATGTTCCTCAAAAATCAAAACATAGAATTACCATATGATTCAGCAGTCCTCCTTCTGGGTATTTTCCCAGAAGCTTTGAAATCAGATGTCTGTGCTCCATGTTCATTGCAGCACTATTCACAACAGCCAAGTTATGGACTCAACCTAAATGCCCATCAATAGAAAAATGAATAATATGGTATAGATATACACAATGGAATACTGTTCAGCCTTTAAAAAGCAGGAAATTGTGTCATTTGTGACAACACGGATGGAAATGGAGAATGCTATGCTAAGTGAAATAAGCCAGGCACAGAAAGACAGATACAGCATGTTCTCACTTCTTTTTGGAATCTAAAACAAGCTCATAGAGACAGAGAACAGAAGGGTGGCTACGGAGGCTGCAGGCTGGGGAGAGTGGAGTGATGATGGACAAAGGGCATAAAATCCCAGTTAAACAGGAAGAATATGTTTTCATTTTTAATTGAATATGGTGAATATATTGTATGGTTAGTATAGTTAATATTAGAGTATTGTACAGCATGGTGAATATAGAATATTGTACATTTCAAAATTGCTAAGAGTAAATTTCAAATGTTTTCATTATAAGATAATATTAAGTATTTGAGATGATGGATATGTTAACTGGCTTGATTTAATTATTCCACATTGTATTCATAAATCATAGCATCACTTTGTACCCCATAATTTATACAATTATAATTTGTCAATTTCCAATGTAGAAAAAAAACTATGATGGCTTACAATGTGACCTTTAGATTGGAATCTAGGCATGCTGACTACATCCATAAATGAGGACACTCAACTAAATAACCTCTTATCTCTATTGTAGCTCCAACCTTTTGTAAAAGGGATTAATTTCAGTTTTCCACCAAGTTTGTAGGGGAAAATTTTCAGTTCACCACAGCCCTATTTTAGTTCCTATACTTGTCTGTTGACTTTTGTTTGTTTGTTTGTTTGTTTGTTTGTTTGTTTGTTTTGGAGATGGAGTCTCGCACTGTCACCCAGTGTGGAGTGCAATGCCACAATCTCGGCTCACTGCAACCTCCGTCTCCCGGGTTCACTCGATTCTGCCTGAGCCTCCCTAGTAGCTGGGATTACAGATGCACACCACCACACCCGGCT